CCGGCGATGAAAAACAGTATTCCCTGAGCCGTCAACTCATCGCTGGTTAGCGTTTGCGAGGATTTAATAACAGTTTCCGTCGATTCTTGCAATTGGTTTACATTTATGTCTTCATCGCTATTATAATCGGAATCGAAATTCTTGTCATTCTTTTCGTTATCAATCATAAGTTGTATGAAATCCGATCTCTTATTAGCTATAAATATCAAATTATAATAACTTTTAAATACGTTATTATTTAAAATTATATTAATCTATACTAACAGTCAGTATTCATGGCGGACTTCCTTTCGGCGACTATTTGTTTTGTTAGGTTATTGAAAAAAATTAATTGCATTCACATTAAACGGCTCCAGTTTAAAGAACCTGGCTATTGATGGGCAGAGTATGGACAGAATGAAACTAAAACTCGTGTCCACCGATAGGATCTTTTTAGCGTTCACTACAATGGGATGATTGGCGTTATTAATGGACTCCACATTTATACCATAGGCACAGGCGCTGATCACATCCATGGCAAAGGCACCCATGTATTTGCGCATATCAGCCGTTTTACCTAAATTATCATGCAAGTTACTATTCAACTGTACTTTGAACAGGTAAATTATATAATTGAACACAAAGAAAATATATATTTTTTAAATGCATACCATTTATGGTATATTCATCCAGATTTTTGACAAACTGATCGGCAATACCACCGATACTACCCATCATTGCCCTCAACTTTCCCGACGTAAACGAGGGACTGGTGATCGTGCGGATCCGTTTCCAGTCCTCATCGTTGCCATTGAGAAAAAACAGGGCCTTCGCCAGGTTGGTGTTACCCAGGTTGAAATGTAAGTGATCGGGGAATACGTGGAAGTCCTTGACCAGTATATCTCGTAGGAGTTCCGGTTCGTTCACAAAAAGCCATTTGCCAAACAAATCGTATGCACCGAATATACGGCCGTATTTTTGCCAGTTTTTTGTGTAAAAGTCGGTCACTTTCATAAAGAATCCCTCAATTCCTATGCGGTTGGGTCCTTTGACGCCATGTCTGGACCAGTAGGTGAACCGGTAGGTTAATAGGCTATATTTAGTTTTATAATACAAATTTAAAAAGTAATTAATTTATGTTATTGAAAATTATGTTAGGCATACCATGCTATTAATGTTATAGATATTGTCCAAAAATTTAGAATAATATCTAGCATCTTATTTCAAAATTATTATTCTGTATAAAATAATTAACATTTAATAAATTTAATTAATTTAATTTGGAGTACATACCGCTTATATATAAATATTTATAAAATATCGTAACGGCTTTTCACAGATATATAATAAGACATGCTGATTATCTAAGGTTATGTCTGATAATTAGTAAATTAGTAATTTGTTTATAATTGGAAATATAATGATTTAGCAGTTCATTCAAAGCAAACTAATCACTGATATATTTAAATGAATCCGACATATCATACATCCCTTCCCTCTGATTGCTGTATATTATGTGTTATTTATGTAATATTTAGATGGAGTGCAGTGTGTACACAGTTCATTCAAAGCAAACTAATCACTGATATATTTAAATGAATCCGACATATCATACATCCCTTCCCTCTGATTGCTGTATATTATGTGTTATTTATGTAATATTTAGATGGAGTGCAGTGTGTACTGCCTATCTAATATTAGTTAATTTTAGATAAATTATTAAATTACATGGACATTTCTGCACTTTTTGTACTCATTTTGATCTATATTTGTGTATTTATTGTGATAGTTATCAGTATTTACACATAATATTATTAATTACACATAATTAATATTTATAAATTAATTTTTTAGAACTAACTATTATACATTATTTAATTGTTATTTATTTT